ACCTAGTGAATACAATTCTTATCTCCCCAGTATCTCACCAGAGTTAGATTAAAGTCAGTAAAAGTGTTGCAGGTTTGCTGTGTGAAATTTGCTCTCTTTATATAAAAAGTAATATAGTTTTTTATTAACTCAATTTCTTCAGAATCTGCCATTGTTTCATGCCAAGAACAAAGCTATATTTTAGAAGCTTTCTTTTCATACTTTCCTATATCTGTCTTCTGTCACTAAGACTCTTGAGATATGTACATCAAGGACTCAGAGTTTATAGCTCAAAATTGTAAAAGATGTTCCTTTCTCTCTAGCTAAGGATATTCTCTCCATCATTTGCCCTTCTGAAACTACTGATGCTTTTTCATCATTTTTAATCTTCTTTCTTACATTTACTGCTTCAGGGCAATCACCCAGTGGTGTAACCAAAAAATAAAATGTCCCTCATTGCCTGCAATTTTACATCCAAATGCTTTTAGAGTTCCTGGGATTAGTAGGATTTTTAGAGTGCTGCAGTGAATTCAGTGTGATGTGAATGCTAATAGGTTGATCATCATGTAACAAGCCACAGCTAATGGGCAGGTGGTGAGATGAGATACCATTCTGTTGCTTTTCTAGAATAAGGAGTACAGTCCTGGACCTATTGACCAAAGATAGCTTTGCTGTTAACTTTTAGGATGGTTAAAATGGAAGTGGAAGAGCCATTTAGGTGTAAAGAGTAACTTAAGAGGTTGACTTAATCTCCTTTCTGGCCTTTTGAGTTGTTCACTAAGGCCTTTTGATTTCATTTCAGGGCATCTTCCTACCCCTCTGTTAGAAGATTTAGTTATTCCTCCCCTCCCAAACAAAACAAAACAAAATCTGACACAGTTCCAATTGCAAATATATTTCTGAATAAATACCAGTGGTGTTTTAAAGATTGTATCTTACCAGAAAGAGTAGGTAGAAATCTAATGAGAAAGAGAATGATATCAATAAGCATGGAAGTATCTTGGGTAGTCTTAGATCAGCCTCTTCTTGTCCTGTATCTTAACACTTGGATTTGTTTTGCTTTTAAAAACGCTATTCTTGGGACTTCCCTGGTGGTGCAGTGGTTAAGAATCTGCCTGCCAATGCAGGGGATACGGGTTCGAGCCCTGGTCTGAGAAGATCCCACATGCTGTGGAACAACTAAGCCGGTGCGCTACAACTACCGAGCCTATGCTCTAGAGCCCGCAAGCCACAACAACTGAAACCACGCACCATAACTACTGAAGCCTGCACGCGTAGAGTCCGTGCTCTGCAACAAGAGAAGCCACTGCATGAGAAGCCCGCGCACTGCAACAAAGAGTAGCCCCCGCTTGCCACAACTAGAGAAAGCCTGCGCACAGCAACGAAGACGCAATGCAGCCAAAATTAATTTTAAAAAAAGGAATAAAAAATAGTAGCTGCTTATCAATGTGAGAAAATATTGACACATTAAAAAAAGTGCTATTCTTGTGGGATAAGGAGGGTGGGAGGGAGACGCAAGAGGGAGAGGATATGGGGATATACGTATGCATATAGCTGATTCACTTTGTTATACAGCAGAAGCTAACACAACACTGTAAAGCAATTATACTCCAATAAAGATGTTTTTAAAAAAAGCCTATTTTTTTAAAATTTAAATTTATTTTTATTTATTTATTTTTGGTTGCATTGGGTCTTCGTTGCTGCGCGTGGGCTTTCTCTAGTTGTGGCGAACGGGGGCTACTTTTTGTTGTGCGTGGATTTCTCATTGCAGTGGCTTCTCTTGTTGCGGAGCCTGGGCTCTAGGCCCGCGGGCTTCAGTAGTCATGGCACATGGGCTCAGTAGTTGTGGCTTGCGGGCTCTAGAGCGCAGGCTCAGTAGTTGTGGTGCATGGGCTTAGTTGCTCCGCGGCATGTGGGATCTTCCAGGAGCAGGGCTTGAACCCGTGTTCCCTGCATTGGCAGGCGGATTCTTAACCACCGCGCCACCAGGGAAGTCTAAAAAGGCTATTCATTATTGAGTAACCTGTGCATGGAGCACTACAATAAGCAATTATACATACATTATTTCATTAATCATCCTAGTCACCCTGCAAGTGAGGAAACTGAGAAGAGTTCCTTTTGAAAATAGAGCTTGAAGACAAACATGTGACTGTAACCCCTGCACCCCAAGATATAACCCTAAGAAGCTTTAATCAGGAAATCTTCCATTTTGGCTTGATGGCTTTGTACCCAAATTGAGTTTGCCTTGAGTCATCCAGAGTTATGAGAGTGACCAGGGTTACAGTTTAATAAAATGACCAGTCGATGTGTTATAATGGAAAATGTATGGGCCAAAGGAGTCAACAATCTCAGGGGTGCTAATCCTGGTTCCATACTGAGTTATGTGACCTATAGGAGTCATTTCCTTCTTTGATGAATTCACTTCCTTTTCGTCCCCTCTAAAATGAAAGGCATTTCCAGCCATAGGCAAGCGTGAATCTCATTAGGAATATAGATTTTCAGAGAGTCTGGATCTACTTCAGCAAAGGCAGACAGACCGACAGACCTCTGAAACTAGCCAGGGACTTTTGAAGGTAGAAGGAGGAGCTGAGCGTCTGTCCTCAAACTCAGTTCTAAAACTTGGGTGTTGGATTCATAGCATCAGTGGGATTTCCCTGTTTTTTTGCCCACACTCATTAGTGGTCAGAGAGCCTGACATGTTAGATTTGCTCAGTAAATGTATTTTTATTAAATGCTTATGAAAGCTCTTTTATTCTTTAACACTGTGGAGGGTTTTCCCGTCAAATATCACCAGATATATTTAGTGACAGTACTTCTGTATGATCTTCTCCTTCAGCTTCAGTAGTCAATATCATTATCCTCATATCACATTCAGCCTTGCTTCAGGTTCTGTGCATTGACCCAGATGTTTCTTTCCGTGAGACAAATTACTAAAACCTTGAAAAATCTTTCCCTTTCTAACATCAGTGCCTATGTGTCATTTAAATCTATTACTGGGGATTTTCAAGGAAAGATTCTTAATTGAGATTTGTCAGATTTTGTACTGCTATTAAAGCTAATCAGTTTTCTTCTCTTGAATTTGCTTTTCTAGTAAAGCATTAAGAAACACTTCAAACCTATCAAAATGGCTAATGTTAATATAATAATCCAGAGTTTACGAAGTGCTTTTTACAGCTTTATCTCATTTAATCCTCACGACAATTCCAGGGGTAGGTGTAATCCCTATTTATAGATGTAGAAACTGAGAAATGAAAAGGCTAAGTGACTTGATCAGGGTCTAATGACTGATAAGACACAGAGCTAAGACTCAAGCCTTGGTCCTCCAATTCCAAATCCTGTGTCTTTCCCACTATACCGTATTGCCTATAACTTCTTTTCTTTTGTCTTAAAGGCATCGTGTTTTATGATCACCTAAAATTGGTTGAGAGTCTAACCCTTCATCTGCAAGATCTCATCAACTTAATGATAGTCCCTGGGACAGTGTCACCATGACTGCAGTACTCGTGTTGGAAAATAACCTTGTGAAATCTTTGAACCACTACTACTATGTGGTTGTTTGGGATTGTGCTGTCTAATCTTTATTTTCAAATAGGGTAATTAGAGTGTAGTGTTTGTTTCTGAAGCAGGCAGCCAGCAATTAACAGGAACAGGCCCCAGCTAGAAGAGAGTTGTTTTTACTTCTTTCAGCCATCCAGCTGTGGCACAGCACATGAAGTTTCCTCTCTGGATCGTCATTTCCAGCAAATGTTCTTCATTTCCTTTGCTCTGATGCCCCCAGTCCTCAGTCTGTGGGGAAAGGTGACTGCATTTTTGAAGAACCCTCTGAATAATTAAGGGCTCAATTTTTGTGACAGCACCCTAAGTTTTACCAAATGGACTCCCCGCTTACTTAGTAAAGTCATCTAGGACCAAAAACACCATCAAATCTGGCGTAGGTTCCTGCCATGCCTAGGACATGGGGAATCTGCAAGTTTTTCTCAGGATATGAACGGTATTTCCTCTCTGGTAACTTTGCAGTTGGCACCAACTATTTCTTTTCACTTTTGACTGTAGTTCTAGTCTAAATAGTCTCGGGCTCTGGCTCCAGCCTCCTGTGATTCTAATCCCAAGCAGCCAAGATCAGACACTGGGATATCTCTTTACTGGCAGCCCCAGACTTAAGCTTTGGAAATTGTGGGAAATTTCATTCTTTGGGCACATAGATCTTCTGATTCTACTATACTAGAGTTCTCCCTTCTGAGTAGATATGGAATCAAGGTAATACGAAGGAAAGAATGATGAAAATAGTCCTTTATGTGTGTATAATATTGTAGTACTTACAAAATGATTTTATATTCATTATCTCATTTTTTTCTTCCTAATAACCCCAGGAAAAGTGATTAAGACCATCGAGTCTGGATTTACACTGCCTCAGTTTGAATCCCAATTCCAACATTCATAGCCATGGGAAACTTGATCTCTCAGTGCCTCAATTTCCTAATCTATCAAATTTAGACTACTTATTTCATAGGCTTTTTGTGAGGATTAAGTGAGATATATTTATAAGGCACTTAGAATAGGGTATTACAAAAAATAGTTGTTGTTGTTAGTTGTTGTATAAATAAGTTGTTATTATTGTATAAATATCAACAAGAAAACCAAGGCCCAGAGAAACTAGGTAGGGACAATGGAGCTGAAATTAAAACACAAATTATTCTTACTTTATGCCTGTTCTATCTACCCCATCTCAGCTGCCTCTGAAGTCAGTACCTTGCATTGTATGTAGGTAGATTTGATCCTAGGAACTCTGGACATTTTACTCTCATTGTTTATTATTTAAACTTCCATATGAAGAGACAGAAAGTACAGGGTTTATTATCTATACAAATAAAAAGAGGCTTAGAAAAGTCCTAGTGACTTAGAAAATCACAGTGTGCTTGATTCTTACTTCTGAGTGCATATCAAATGCTCTCTTGGAGTAGAAGAGACATGCTGTACTTCTTTTTCCATTTCTTCCTCTCCTGAGTTTCCAGCAGAGAGGACCTTAAGTGAGCAGAGATTCTGGAATAGGAAAAGTAAAACTAGTAAGTGCTAGGAGAAGAGTGGGCACTCTTATGGCACAGGGCACTCTCATAAGTGGTGAGGAAGAAGAGTAGTCGAGAGGTAGGGAAGATAAGGCATTCCTTGGCAACACTGGAAAACATTAGTGTACATCCTTATTTACTGCATTGGCTGTAGCAGGGAGGTGTGCTAATTCCTAAACTTCATCTAAAATTAATAGCAGAGGTGTTCCCAATTGTGCCTCTTATTGGTGCATCCTGTTTCATTATTTGATTTGAGCCCTCTTCACCTTGACATAGGTTCCAGGGAAAGTGGGGGCAAGGGACAAGAACAGATTCAAGAGATATTTGGGAGATAGATTTAATCCTAACAAAAACCTTGTTAGTCATCAGATGTTAGTATCATTAGTCTCATGGAAGAGAAGTAATTTGCACAAGGTCATAAGGTAAACAGCAAAACTTCAACTCAGGTCTTTTGACTTCAAGTATAGAGATTGTCCCAGAATATCATGTATCCTCCCCATGCAGGTGGGGAAATGGTCCAGGTAATTAATATCAGAACTGAGCCTGGGACATAGGCAGTGTCACTGAGAATTGGACATTATACTGATGAAGAGATGCTACAGATTAGGCAGGCTCTCTTTCCTGTACATAAGGAACCATATTTAGCTTTTTAATAATTCTCTAATATTTCTATTTTCTTTAGGTTATTGTTTGGAAGCAATGAGTTTAAAACCTTTCACCTACCCATTTCCGGAGACGAGGTTTCTTCATGCAGGATCCAATGTGTATAAATTCAAAATTAGATATGGCAACAACATCAGGTAATTTTAAAACCAGGAGGGTAGTCTTTGCAAACACAGGTTAGTACCTTCCCACAGGTCATTCCTTCTCTGCCTTCACCCAGTCCAGGAGACTGGCTGAAGCAGCACCTTGTAGGACTCTTTCCCAGGTATTTTGTGTTCTATATATTTATTATTCATATAAGTTTTTAAATTAGCAATGGCATACCTTTGGGGCAGTGGTTCTCAAATTTTTTTATCTCAGGACCCCTTTGCACTCTTAAAATTGAGGATCCCAAAGAGTTTTTGATTAAGAGGGTTATACCTGTCAATATTCATCATATAAAATTGAAACAGAAAAACTAAAATAATTACTTATTAATTTAAAAATAATATAACATTTTATTAAAATAACTATATTTTTGAAAAATTAATGAGAAGATTGACATTGTTTATATTCCCAGGACTTACCCTAGGAATGCAAGGATAGTTCAGCACACAATAATCAATCCACATAATACACCACATTATTAGAAAAGAGAAAACACACGACCATCTCAATTGACGCAAAAGAGGCATTTGACCAAATCCAGCACCCTCTCGTGATAAAAATACTCAAACTAGGAATAGAAGGGAACTTCCCCAATATAAAGGCCATATATGAAAAACCCACAGCTGACATCATGCTCAGTGGTGAAAAACTTAAACTTTTTCCTTAAGATCGGGAGCAAGATAAGGGTGCTCACTTTCATCACTTCTACTCAACATAGTACTGGAGTTCTACCCAGAGCAATTAGTCAAGAAAAAGAAATAAAATGCATACAAATTGGAAAGGAAGAAGTGAAACTTCTCTGTTTGCAGATGACATGGTCTGTTTTTTTTTCTTCTTTTTTGGCTGTGCTACGTGGCTTTGCGGGATCTTAGTTCCCTGACTAGAGATTGAACCCACGCCCTCAGCAGTGAAAGCACAGAGTCCTAACCACTGGACCGCCAGGGAATTCCCGACGTGATCTTATATGTGGAAAAACCTAAAGAATCCACACAAACTAACAGAAAGTTGTTAGACCTTATCAATGAATTCAGCAAAGTTACAGGATACTAAATCAACATCAGCTGACTTATACACACTAGCAACGAACACTCTGCAAAGAAAATTACGAAAACAATTTTGTTTACAATAATATCAAAAAGAAAAAATACTTAGCAATAAATTTAACCGATGAGGTGCAAGACTTGCACACTGAAAACTACAAAAAAAATATATTTCTGAGTGAAATTAAAGGAGACCTAAATAGAAATGTATCTGTGGGAATTCCCTGAGTGGATAGGACTCAGCACTTTACTGCCAGGGCCGGGTCTAATCCCTGGTCAGGGAACTAAGATCCCACAAGCTGCGCAGCAAGGCCACTTGATTTTGTAACCTGAAGTGTTTCATTGGTCATTTGGAAAATATTGGTTCACTGGCTTATGCAGATTGTTCAAATGTCAACACATTTCATTATATAATATCAAAAAATCATATTTGCTAATATCACTACCAAACTTGTCAGAAAAATGTCTAAGTATTTGGAAGCTGTCAACCCCACAGTGGTGGATAGAAGTTTTCCAAAATTCAAAATTTTGCTTGAAATCCCAAAATTTATCCTTGACAACAAATACTGTCAGTTGTTTTCCTTAAATTGATAAGCTCACTGTTCATTTTTGAGAAAATGTCTGTCACATTCCCAAGTCTGAATAACAATCATAGTTTATCTGTCAGCTGATCACTCAAGTAAAATATGAAAAAGCAAGTGGTTCAGTTTGCAACTTAAACCGTTGTACAGGTGCTTTTTCTCAAGACAACCATCATCTTCTGGTATGCAGCAGAAATGCTTTATGCATGCTTCCTGTTTTATCACATAATATTAAAAAGACATGTATTCAAGGCTTGAGATTTATAAAATTATTAATTTTTCACTGCTTCCTCTAGGATATTAAATGAAACTGGATTTTTTTTCCTGTGTGGTGGTAAAGATGACTACAACTGCTAGTACAGTTTAGTGCAACTGGCTATATTGTGCCAAGGCACCAGCAGTTTTGCCCACCATTGATTGTGCACTACAGATTATAAATGTTAACATAGTGAAAAAGGCAAATAACATCTTAATATTATTATGAAACTAGTTTTGCCCTTGGAGACTCCTTGAAAGGGTCTTGAGGACCCCTAGAGGTCCACAGACTGCACTTGTACAATGGGTCTAACAAATTATTAACTTTCACAGTGGAAATTTCAGGTCTTGGCGGGTTAATGGAGAAGACATTTTGGTACAGCCTTGTACCAATTCTCAGACCACACCACCTAGGTGATCACTTCTTCCCTTGAGCACTGGGTCAGCACACACAATTGTTATTTAGTTATGTTTCCTTAGCTCAATGGAAGTCTCATTTTTGCTCTACTAGAGTCTGTTGTCTCCAGAGCTTTCCTTCTTGGCTTACTTATCTCTTGTCTGTTTACCTTCTAGAGGGGAAGAGGTAGAAAACAAGGAAGCCATCGTCCAGGAGCTAGAGGTAGGGAAAGAAGCAGACAGCTTCTGGGAATGTTATTCTTTGAACTGAGGATGAGTCCATATTCAGATTTTAGTTATTTCCTGCAAACTGAGTCACAACCTCCACTCGATTACTTGGCTTCTCCCTGCCACATTTCCTCTGCAAAGAAACTTTACTGTTTTTTCAGGGAAATTAAAGCCTATACTCTTTCTCAATTCTCCTAGTTGAAATGTCAGCACCTTTGAGGCTAAGAGTTATTTTGTTTCCACTAGAGTTCCCAGCCATGGGGAGCTCTCTTTTGTGGCAGCTGGCACAGAGAAAGCTTCCGGAGGACTGCAGCCTTCCAGGGCTCTGGGAAACCTCACCATCCCAACCACCGCCCGGTACTTGACGTTCAGGAAACTCAACTGTAAATACACAGACAAGGCTGCTGTGTCTTCATTTTAATTGGAAACATTTGCAATTGCCTTATTCCCACTTCATTTTCATTCCTTTGCTACCCAGCTCCTCTAGCTTTAGATTCTCCCACAAGAAGACAGAGAAGGTGGGCAAATTCGCAGATTGGTGAAAGCATTGGAAAAGAAATTAGAGTTCTGGGGGATGGCCCTGGATTCCAGTCCTGGCTGAACCACTAATTAGCTGTGTGAGCCTTGGCAAATCATTTATCTCTCTGGGTCTTAATCGCCTCATTCATAAAATGAGAGTTTTAAACTAGCGTATCCTCTTCTAACTTCACAACTGAGTGATCTATGACTGTTGTGATTTATGAAGACATATGTTGCCACATTTCAAGGAATTTGAATGTGAAAACTCTGTGAAACCAAAGGCTTAAAGGTACCTGTGGCTCTTCAGCTGTGTGTTTTAAGATACATTAGGATCTTTGAGGACTTCAGAGGCATCAGTATAAATAACAATTATTTTAATATAGGACCATGACAGTTTTCTGCTTATTTTAATTATGAGTAGAGCAGAATTTACTTCATTTTGCTTCACTTAATATGGGCAGAGAAAAGCTCAAGGCAGCATAGTAGAGTGGAGAGAGCTTAGACTTCAGGGCCAGTGAAACCTGGATTTGAACTCTAGTTCTGCCTTCACAGTGTGACTCTGGGAAATCTGTCTGCCTTCTCTGAGTCTGTTTCCTTACCTGTCAGTGATATTGATAAATAATATCAGTTTTCAAGGTTGTGGTGAGGATTAGAAATAGATGTATGCAATGCCTGCCACACAGTAGTTCAACTAAGAGTAGCTAGAGAGCACTTATATCCATTTATAATCATATTTAAAGTTTTTGAAATGCTTTTTATATGTTCTTTTTCTTACTCTCATTAGTTCTGAGGCAGATGTTATCATCCTTTTTCACTCATTTCGAAAACATTTATTGACAGGCAGTTTAGTCTAATGGTCAGGAGTGTAAGCTCTGGAGCCCCACTGCCTGGGTTCATATCTTAACTCCATCATTACTACCTGTGTAGCCTTCCATGAGTCATTTTACCTCTTTGTCTTAGTTTCCTCATGGGTAAAATGGGGATAATAGAAGTGTTTATCTTATAGGGTTTTATGAGTGTTAAATTCATTAATGTATATAAAAACAAAAATATTTGCCATAATGATTATTCAATAAATACTAGCTATTAAAATTATAAGCTAGATACTATGCTAATAGAGATCATACAAAGATGAACATGACACAGTTTCTGTTTTCTGTGAGCCCAAATATGAGGAAAATGAGGCTTAGAGAGATGAAATGACAAAACTGAGACTGAGGGCTTCCCTGGTGGCGCAGTGGTTGAGAGTCCGCCTGCCGATGCAGGGGACACGTGTTCGTGCCCTGGTCCGGGAGGATCCCACATGCCGCGGAGCAGCTGGGCCCGTGAGCCATGGCCGCTGAGCCTGCGCGTCCAGAGCCTGTGCTCTGCAACGGGAGAGGCCACAACAGTGAGAGGCCCGTGTACCGCACAAAAAAAAAAAACTGAGACTGAAATTCAGATTTTTTTTCCCATAGAAATTTAGTAGTCTTTTCATGATACCAATTGTTTAACTAGTGTATACTAATAAGCATAGGTTAATTAGAGACTAATCAATTCAGATTTAAAGAGAGTAGAAGAAAAGATTTGATTTAAGCAAAAGCAAAATAAGTATATGTAAATAAATACCAGTATTATTCACTAATCCAGTATATGTTTGTTGAGGACCTGTTATGCTTCATCCACTAATGGTAGACACCATAGAAGGGATGCTAAGATAAATCAGGTGTATATTCTACTTCAAGAAGATTTCTCAGTAAGGAAAATAAAAATATGTACATGGAGGGAATTCCCTGGCAGTCCAGTGGCTAGGACTCAGCCCTTTCACTGCCGGGGCCAGGGTTCACTCCCTAATCAGGGAACTAAGGTCTTGCAAGCCATGGGGCATGACAGAAAAAAAAAAAAAAAGTACATGGAATATAGTAAAAGCCCAAGGCTAACTACTGTGAAATTTGAGACTAATAGTTAATAAAACTCGGGAAATCAGGGAAAACTTTCTGGAGGAGGTGGCTTTTGAACTGTATCATAAAAGGATAGGTCGAATTTGGTCATATACTGATGGGTTGAAAGGGTATTTCAGGCAAGAGCATAGAAATAGAGAAGCAGAAGGCATATTCAGGGAACAGCAAGTAGTTCAACTTTAAAAGCGTATAGAGTATGTGAAGAGCAGTGATAAGGATAAATTGATAGATTGACTGAGATTAGATTAAAGTCATTTCAAATTTTTTTTTTTTTTCAGGATTCTATTCGTGTGGTCTTGGGAAACCTGGATAATCTGCAGCCGTTTGCTACAGAACACTTCATTGTATTTCCCTGTATCCTTTACTGGGTGGAAATGAACTACAATTCACACTGTACATTCAAATGGAAGCAGCAAACCCATAGGCAGTTTGGAGGGTAGGTCAGGGAAACCAGAGGGAGTCTTTTCCCTAAAATAGTACTCAGGAATTCGTACTGGCTTCTTTCCTTACTCCTTAGCACATTTCCCAGATAAAAGCAAATGGGAGAGAGTGTCCCACCTGAAATTCAAACAAGGAGAGATTGTCTTGGTCCCTTATCCATTTGTTTTCACTCTGTACGTGGAGATGAAATGGCTTCATGAAAACCTGTCAACTGGTAAGTAGAATGATAGAAGTGTAGGTGGTGGAGAAGAAAAAAGGGAAGGTTGAACATCCATGGGTTAGCAGTGCAAGCTGAATATGGTGGGACAGTCAGCCAGATTGGGCGCCAGCACTGACAGTGCAGAAGTCAGGAGCATGTGTCCGAACTAGACTGCCTGCTTCAAATCTTGGTGGCTTTGCCACTTAATAGCTCTGTGACCTTAGATAAATTACTCATTCTATGCCACCTTTGTGAAATGGTGAAAAATAATAATAGTACCTATCTCACTGAGTTGTTAAAAAGATTAAATGTATAAATACCGGAAGATGGAAAGTACAGTGTGACTTAGAATAATCACTCAATGAAAGATACTTATTATATAAATAATTCCTCCATTTTAGAGTATTTAATGACTTTCACCTTAGTAGTATCTTAAAGATATCTCCCGATTTTTAATCTCTGGGGGCCACCGCTATTTTTACAAATAGAGGGATAAGGAGACACCTGCCACTTTGATTTGAAAAAAGGTACAAAGGCCTTACCTCAAAAGATCTCCTCAATTCATTTGTCACTGCTGCTGAAAGTTGCACTTTTTTTCTTTCATAATAGGGATCATCCCCTTTTAAGTGACATATAGTTAGAATATAGTACGAATCAAACTATTTTTAGCTTGTAGATGGCAGTAGTTCTAAAATAAGGGAGGAAGAAAGTTTGAGGACACAGTATTTGTAGGAAAAGTGGTACCGGGCAGTAGGGAAAAGGGTACGCACCAAAGTTTTGTCTAGGACCAGTTCTAAAATGTCAATGATAGTCAGAAAGTCTTGATCCATTATGACATTCAAATTTTCTGTTGCAGGAAAACCAATAAACAGCAGTCCTCCTGGGTTGGTAAGTTTGCCTTTTCTGTAAGAAATGAAAATGGCCTTATTGCCTTCTGTTGTCCCAAAAGTCCTGCTCTTGTCTCGTCTTTTACGCCCCTTGGTCATTGCCCAAGTCCAATCAGAATTGTATACGTGAGACATTCTTTTTCCCCTTGGCTAGATTTCTGAGACTATGTCTATCCTTACTTGCAAAGCTGGTGCTAAAAGTTGCCTTTGGCAATTTAAAGATGGGGAGTTCTCTTCACTGTGCCTTCATGTGAGCAACTCTGGAAAAGGAAGAGTCACAGGAAATGTGGTTCCTCTCTATAGGTCCCGGCAGAGAGGAAAGCAGCAGGAGCCATGATGAGGAAACGAAAACACACAGAAGTGCCCAGCTCCCCAGCCAGGCCAGGGCTGGACAGGTCAGTGGTTTTGAGAGAGGAGCTAAATCCTGCATCCTAGTTAGGCTTTGCCAGCTGTTGCTGCTGGTTAATCTTGTCCTTGGGCGTGTCACTCTCTGTCTCAGGGCTTCATTCATACCTGCCTATTCTAGTGGGTGGACTAAGAGAAGGAAGCAAGTTGATGTTTGCAGTGTAATTAGAACACGGTCCCTTCCTCAGCAAAGTAGAATTCTTTTGTTCATCAAGATGAAGACTGAGGGAATTTCCTAGCAGTCCAGTGATTAAGACTGCACTTCCACTGCAGGGGGCACGGGTTCGATCCCTGGTTGGGGAACTAAGATCCCACAAGCCGCATGGCACTGCCAGAAAAAAAAGATGAAGACTGAGAGGAAATGTAAACATATCTGTACAATTGAATCCAACAAATATTCAGAGTGAGAGTGAATAAAATATAATCTTATTTTACCCAGTTAGCAGTAAGCTTTTGGAGCTCTACCTTAAGAGGTAGTACAGGCGGCAACATAAATGTCTGCAACAGGATATGCATCAATTACTGGCAGAGGTGCTGCGAATTAGGGGGGGTGTTGAGCACAACCCTTAACATGTTGAAGTTGCTGTTGTAGAGGCTTATTTTCTTTTTTGATTCTCTGTCAGGGACAGAATGAGTCAGTAAGACAATTCAGTTGTTCATGTTAGCACCCAGAGAGAGATGCTGGAATAATCCAAGGTGTGGTTTGCTCCCAGCCCAAAGTGCTTTCAGCCCAGGTTCACAGAAAGCAGCTGTTCTTTTCCTGGTACTGTGTGGGCCCCAAGACATACAGGAGCAGTGAGGGTAGACCATGAAGGAGCTGACCCCTACACCCTCCAAATGCACACATCGGTGAAGAGTTAGGAAATTCCTTTCCCAGCCAGGTGGGATGTGAGGGTACTTGGAGGTATGAAGCTTTGGTCAGTTCCATTTGACTGAATTATCCATGGAGATGAGGCCTCACATCTTCCCTTTCTCTGTGTTTTGATGCACAACCAAGTATTTCAAAATCTGATACCTGCTGTCAAACACATTTTCCCTTTCTCAACCCCTAGATCCCAAAATGTCTCAAATTGTGATTCTACTGTGAATTAAAGCAGCACCCAAAGAGAGTTTGGCCACACGATTTATTCTGCAGGCCAGGAGTGGCATAAAAATAGCCAACCTGCTGAAATATTCATTTGAGCCACATTTGCTTGAATGTGGTGATGTTGCTGCTGCCAGTAACACTTCCTGGGCTTTTTTCTCCCACCTCAGGCCCAAGAAGGGGACTTCCAGCCAAGGGCTCAGCAAAAAGAAGGCCCCTATGGAAACCAGGAGGGTAAGCACCAAAATGGAGACTTCGAGACTCGTAGCTATTTCTGCTCAATTACAAGTCAGGATTCCTGTTACCAGCACATCGTGATCCTTAGTACAGACTGAATTCACTGGACTCATTCTCACCTTTCACCATCTGCAGAACAACTTTCAACCATTCCACCCTCACCACAACCTGTCCTAAATGTAGCTGCATAATACATACAGTGATAAATCCTTTTGTTAAAAGGTCTTCTCTTAGCTTAAAAAGCTGCTTGCTTATACTCTGCAGTTGAAAAAGAAAATAGATCTGTTGAATTGAGGTAGGATCCAGTTTAGAATTTTCTTTAGAAAACTTTTTGCTCTCATCTGCACTAGACTCTGAGTCTGGGTACATCTAGTTTTTTTATTTTGTTTTTTTTTTTTGAAATTTTGAATTTTATTTTATTTATTTTTTATACAGCAGGTTCTTATTAGTTATCTATTTTGTACATATTAGTGTATATATGCCAATCCCAATCTCCCAGTTCATCCCACCAACCCCCCACCACCACTTTCCCCCCTTGGTGTCCATACATTTGTTCTCTACATCTGTGTCTCTATTTCTGCCCAGCAAACCAGTTCATCTGTATGGGAACATCTAGTTTTTACAGATAAAATAGGTATATATCAGCACAGGATACTGGTAAGAGAAAACTTCATTTAGAGCAGTGATGGTCCGGCCCTAATAATATTTCATTTCATTTTGTGAGGTCTGCTCTCCATTTAGATATTCATACATCTGCTACTCCTCCATTTCAGGACTCCTTTTCCATAGTAGTCTCTAAAATAGTGCCCTTTTTCTTGAAATAGCTGTTATTTGTGACTTTTCTTACTTCTCTGCCGTCGCTCCAAAGCAGCTCGAACCTTAGGTATCCAAACATTCCCTCCCTCACCTTCCCAGGATCTATAACATGATCAGTTATCGAACAAACGTTTACATATGCATTCATTCCACAAACATTTATTGAGTGACTCCTATGTGCCAAGTACTAAAGCTATCACACACACTCTTCCCGAAAAATACCGAAAGTGTATGGCTGGGTAGACATTACTGATAAATGTGCTACGTACAGGAATAAAGGAAGCACAGGGTACAAAGGGACCACAAAGGAGAACCTCATTCAGACCAAGTGGTGTGAAAGAGAGTTCCCAGAGTAGCTCAGAGTAGCTCAGAGAACTAAGGCTAAGAGGAAAGAGTACAGTGCTTTTGGTGACTGGAAGCCAGTGTACCCGGCGCTTAGAGTACAGTGCTGAGAACTGTCACTGGAGAGGACAGCATGGGGTGGATCCTAAAAGGCTTTAAAGCCACCTTCAAGATCACAGGAATTCCCTAAAACATTTTAAAGTAGAAAAGTGGAGTGATTTTCATTTCTAAACAATTCTGTCTCCTGTTAGCAAGGCATTGTGTTAGGTGCTGGGATGCACCCAAACATATAAAACCTAGTTTTTTTCCAGGAGCTTAGCATTTAGTTGGAGTAGAGTGAACCCTTAAAGATGAAGACCTCTGCCTCTGTGGCGGGGGCAGGGTACAGAGCCCTGTTGTGCCCATGGCCAGCTGGCCCATGGAGTGATTTAAAGCAGATGGTTTCCCTCTTCTATACCCTCATCCTTTAGAGAGGGAAGAAGAAGAAATTAGAAAGTACAAGAAGAGTACACGAAGCTCTGGAGAACAAAGACACTTTATACAACCAAGATAATTACTATTAAAGGAACATTTCCCTCACTCTCTACCCTTTGTACCGTCCTATTCTTAGTTTGACGCATCATCTCCCTTAAGAACCCACAGTTTCTTACTCAACATAATTACCTTTTCAACCTGATACTGGGTTTAGAAAAAACTCTGAGAAAAAAAAAAAAGGAGCATGTTTATTGATTTTGACTCACAGCCCAAGCAGTCTCCATTGTAGACCCTGTTCCCAGAGAGCAGACTTCTCCTAAATTAAAGTGATCACAGGGACTCTCAGTGTAAGTCACTTGAGCTGGAAGAATTGAATTTACTCCTATGGTCCAATGCCTGATATCTTCTCTTCCCTTTGGGGGAAGTTAAGGTGTAGAAACGCAGTCAGTGTGGATGGTGCACATCTGTACACATAGGGAGCCTGTGCAGGGAAAACATAGAAGAACACAACATATACCTGAATAAGGTCTCTGTTTCATAAGAGGTGTTTTGAGGAGAATGGGACGGAAGGACAGACTCATTCCCTTTGTTACTTTAGCTCCCAGATGTAGAGATCCAGACTCTAAAAAGATAAAAAAATGGGAGACAGCAGATGAATGGACCAGAAGTGAAACAGACTGCCGTGCACGTAGCTTTTTTTTCAAGCCTCTGCTTGAACTGCACTTCTAAGCAGATCTGACCCTGAACATACAGCGGACAACCTTGCATCAGGTTTTCAGGGTATTATGTGTTGTTGGATGTCCTAGATGTTACCCTCAGTCTTAATTCAGGCTATAATGGTTTTCCTCTCTTAACAACATTTGCCTGAGGAAACCTCTGTCAAGATTTCAGGAGAGCACAAAGGCTGCCTTATGAGGGAAACTTCCCCTGGTTCAGAGGTAGAGGCTATACCTCTGCCCAGGGCCTTCGCCCTTCTGGTCTCCACTACCAACCTTAGTAGATGATGCTTCCATTAGGGCCAATGCAGCGGTATTTAAACCCCAAACCATAGTTTCCATACCTCACCATAGTAAGTTTGTGAGAATCATTCCCTCAAGCTAGAAATCAGACCTGGGCCCTCTAAATTTCATCTCTGCCCTGTCTGGAAGAGATAAGAGATAGTCTCCTTCCTCCCGAGAGTTACCTTTCACTTTTATAGGAGGTATGATTTAGGTGGCTGCCTATGTGGTCTGGGATTTGAGGGGTTTGTGGAATAGCTTAACAGAAATGTCAGCTTATGCTTAGGATGGGGGATCTGTCCTAACTTTCCTGGGATTGCTGTGCCTCTGCCTCCTAGATACACCCTTGCTATAGAATTCTTCACCAGCGGGACTTCCCTGGCCGTCTAGTGGTTGAGAACCTATGCTTCCACTTCAGCGGGCATGGGTTCAATCCCTTGTTGGGGAACTAAGATCCCGCATGCCGCGTGGCGTGGCAAAAGCAAAAAGAGAGAGAGAGAATTCTTCACCAGCAAAATGGCTCAAGGAACTCCCCAGCACTGCTGGGCAGTCAAGCCCTCAGGTTGTGCCTGCGTGAGGGAAGTGGCCAGCTGGCAGAGATTCTCAAAGGAAATATATCAACCATGTTTCTGGCTACCAGGGTGTCTCCTAGAATATTATAAGCTTGGAACCAGGTTGTAGGATGTCCCCTTCAAAGTACAAAGGAAGGTCTATAGAGCAGTAGACAGAAATAATAAGATTGCTTACGCCATAGTCACGTTTCTGCTGCCCTGGCTCTAGCCACGTTGATCATATTTACATGTTAATGGCAATGTGCCCTTGTACATCATGTCCCTTTCTGGAATGCCCGGCTCTCTCTGACCCCTTGATGCCATCCACCAAGGCCCCATTTAAATAACACTTTCCCTGTGAATTCTTCCTTGACTAACCACTACCCACTCTATTCATGTCCTCCTCAGTAACCACGGCACTCTGTATAGACTGATGGAGTAGTCTTATCACACTGACTTATAATATTTAGTTTATACGTCAGTTTTACCACATAGATTATACTTTTCTCCAAGGTAAAGTAAAGGTCCTCCTGATTTCTGAAACCTCAATATTCTGTCCTTGGCAATAGTTGGCACTCAGAAACATGGAATGATAAGGTATACCCAGCTTGGTTTGTTCTTGGCTCTTAAATACTATGATTTTAGAGAGACAGTGTTTGGGAAGCTGATATGAGAAAAGGACAGTCCTATAGAAGGAAAAACAGAACCTGCCTGGGCAGTCAGAAGGCAGGCCCCAGCACTGATGTGATATCACCTTACCAGCAAATAGCATTCAGACCACTAAGCTGTAAAGGAGTAACGTTTAAGACTTTTCTTGGTCTTTTTATCAGAACAGAGAAAGAAAAACCCAGCAGGAATGGCAGGAGACCCCAGCACTTGATATCACTGATGTTCAGGACCAGGGTAGGTTCTGGGAAATTCATACGTATTCTCCTCTAATAATCATGCCGTCCTCTTTAGTCGTCTGATGAGCAGAGCAGCACAGAGCTCTGAGTCTGGACACGCTCAGTGGGTGATGTACCTCACTCCCGTGGAGGTGCTTGTTGGCTATCCTCCAGTCTGGGGGCAGGCTCTTGAGTCATAAAAGCCCCCGCAGTTCCCAGAAGGAGTGAAGGAGGCAACGTATGTCCTTCTTGTGCTTCTGATAGCGAAACTGATGCTCCCAGTTTCAGAACATTTCCATATTGTGTGATAAGTTTTACAGAAATGTTGGGAGGGATATGTTTCACGTTTCTATCCTGGAGAACAATCTCTGGGAAGCTGTCTTTCCTCCTCTTCCCTTTGGGGCACTAGTGTTAATATTGAAGGTGCAGGTGGATGCTTGGCAAGGGCTGGGAATGCATGTTGAGGTATCGCCCTTTCAACTTGCTGATCTTTCACTCAGCGTGAGGATTCGATATGGATACAGTTATCACAGGTGCAGTCCTGTGAGCAAGTGAGTTCTTCAGTAAGTTGTCATTCCATGTGCAGACACACCAGCCACGGTAGGTGTCTAGGATTTGAGCAGTGTGAAAATCTCAGGGGCAGGGCTTCCCTGGTGGCGCAGTGGTTAAGAATCCGCCTGCCAATGCAGGGGACACGGGTTCAAGCCCTGGTCCGGGAAGATCCCACATGCCACGGAGCACCTAAGCCCGTGCGCCACAACTACTAAGCCTGTGCTCTAGGGCCCGCGAGCCACAGCTACTGAAGCCCACGCAGCTAGAGCCCGTGCTCCACAACAAGAGAAGCCTGCATACCGCAACTGGAGAAAAGCCCACACAGCAACGAAGACCCAACGCAGCCAAAAATAAAATAAATGTATTTTTTTAAAAAATCTCAGGGTCCTGAGTTTGAAAATACTCCAAGGTCAGAATAGCACCTTACTGAGCTCAGATGAAATTGGGAAGGTCAGAACAAGCAATTCACCTGGCTTTGAATAATCTTGGTTTGAGGCTGCCCTGGGCTCAGGCTCTGTGTCCTGCCTTCTGCTCACATAAAAGTAGCCTGAGGACTGACACCTTTTCCCTGCCTGAGTGTTTTCCTTGCAGATTCTAAGTGGGGAGACGGCCGAGCAGGGAAGATTATCCCACCATTGCAGCAAAACAATCCACCTCCTCCTGAAGGACGCACGGAGCTGGGAACCAGTGGCTTCTTTGGGTTTCTAAGGTAGGATAGACCTCTCCTGCCATCGAACTGAGACCCAGGGCAGTCTAGCTCCAGAGCCTGCCCCACTGAGTCTCTCAGGGAAATTAGAATACAAAAAAAAGATTACCTGCATAATCTCTATTTTGTACGGGATAAATGATGGAAATGAAGTGAGCATTAGGGCCCTAACTGAATTTAACAGAGACTGTGTCTTGTTCATTTGTACACAATCTACCCCACCCCGATGTGCCCAGCATTGGACCTGATTCCACAAATGCTGCTTGGACAGAAACTATTCTGATCGTGCTTGGGTTATTCAGATGATTTCGTTACCAAAATTTTTCCATTCTCCCCTCTGAATCTAGGCTGTCTTCAGAGTCCTTTTTGCAGAGTACAGTTAGCAAATCGCTTTCTCTATCTAGAGCTCAGCCATACCATTGCAATTGTTCTTCTTTATTTCCACCTCCCGAGTATACTCTAACTTGGGTACCTTTTCAAATGCTGTTTCAGACTTGAATTTCCATTCAGTGGTCTCAGAGCAAAAATGCCCTAGCTAATAATGGAGCCCTAATGGGACCTGGGAGAAGGGAAGTGGACCTCTAGAGTCTCAACCTGCTCTGCTCTTCTTCCTGCAGCTCTCTCTTCCCGTTTCGGTATTTCTTCAGAAGGAGCAGCCAGTGCGCCTCCTAAATGCAGCGGTGGGAAGAGCGTTTCTCTTGCAGCGACTCTTCCCGCTCCACTCCCTGCTTATGACGTTCCAGTCTTGGGGAATGAGAGCCCCAAACTCCCTGAGTCCTCTTGTGGGTTTGTCCTTTACAATGGATTGTCCTTCCCCAATTTAAAACACTAAGAATGTAACTTTCTAAAATGCTCTAGTCTGAGAACTTTACTGCCCTATGAGCCAGTTAGGTCTTCCATCTGCAGCACTTAGATTTCTAATGAAAATAAATTATTTATGAAGAGTTATTGACTGAATTTTAGTGGAGTAGAGAGAGAGAGCACGAGAGAGCAAACTCTTTCCTCAAGATACAGGGAAACAATGCCTGAAACCTCCCCTGGGTCTCCCTGGTTGTTGTTGACAGAACAGTTTGGGTAGGTGGGGTCTGTACCTGACTTCAAACCTTAAACTCCCCTGGCCAGGTTAGAGAATGGGGTTTTGCAAGACTCAATGTCCTGAGCCCTGCTGACCCTCAAGAAATCATGTCTCCTCAGTTCACCCAGTTTGGCCCCAAAGTGCAGTCTCTTAGTAGGTAAATGCTTCTCACCTAGCTACCCCTTTGGCTTTGACAGTAATGCAGATTAGTTTATCGGATCAACTGGAAGTCAGTGTAGGTTAGGGCCAAAGGAATCATTTTGTAACTGTAGAGATGTCCAGTATTAGAATGGGCCACCTTGTAAGGTAACAAGCCTTTGTCAACCCTAGTCTTTAAACAGAGCTGATTGTCTGTCGGATGCTGGAAGTTACTCTCGGTGGGTGGGAACGCTGGGGCTGGACTGCTAAAGTCCCTCAGAGACCCCTTGTTCTGACGCCTTTCCCTTGGCTGGGGAGGAGAGAAGAGGTGGGCTGCTGAAGGGCCTGGGACCTGAGGGGAGGAGGGCCAAAGGGGAAGTCGCCGTGTGTGAGGACTGGAGGACTAGGGACAAGTTGTGTTTACAGCCTTTGCCCTGCTGTCCCAAACACAGCCCACTTTCCAAAGCTGTTCAAAGGCACAGCTCCAGAATCTGGAGATCTGAGCGCCATTCTGACTTACAAGCTTATAATGAAGGCTTGGCAAAGTCACTTTCCTTTCTGGTTCTTATTTTTCTCATCTGGAAAATGAAAGGGTAGGATCTGATGAGCTCTCAGTGCCTTCCAGCTCTGGCAGTCTGTGGCTGGCTCTGCCTCTTGGAGCAGGTCATTGAGCCAGTAGCCCTGGGGTGTGTGGGGACAGAACCACCACAGGCCTCCTTCTGATCGCTACCCTGCCCCGGCCCCTGTGGCTCCTGCTGGCTAGGGGTCTTTTTCTAACTTGCCACATTCTTGCCCCAAGTGTAATTTAGCACCAGGCATGAATAGCAGGAGATCTGGGTTCCAGAACAGCCCTGACATGAACTAGCTGTGTGACCTTTAGTAACTTTCCTTCTCTTGAGCCTCAGTTGCCTCACCTGTAAAACCAGAACCAGGGCTGGACGAAATGATTGATTTGCTGGGGTTGATAGCTTCAGGCACTTCCAGGAGTCAGGTCCCTGTTAGTCCAGAAACTAGGGGAAGCCCCGCTCTGTAGCTGACCCCCAGAATGAGAAGTCATCCACTTGACAGTGAAAGTGAAGCTCTGAAACGGACTTAGAACCAGCCCCCTGACTCTCCCTGGCTCTGCCACCAACCATCTCTCAGGAGACCCCCCACTGATAGCATTTCCGTTGTCCATAAGAATCTCCTCTCCACCCTTTCCTTTGCAGTGGGTAAAAGAGACAGGCAGGGCTGAGTTTAATAGTTTTAAGGATGGGCTGGCAAGGCCCTAAACAGAAGTGTCCTGCCCGAGGTCACATAGCAAAGAAGAGAACCCAGGTGGCCACAACTCAGCCCAGTGAGAGCCCTCCCTCTCCAACTGCACACACGCTGCCTACTCCACCAGCTCCTGGGCTTTTCTCTACACCTCACTTCCCAGCCCTAGGCCACCAGCAGCTTTTGGACATAGGGGAAGCAGAAACCGCCCTAGAGGACCACACCTCAGAGAACAGCAGGATCTCCCAGGTGGTTTTGCTGTGAGGCTTCAGGCAGAGAAGACAGGCCTGAAAGCCGACCTCCAAGAAGGCGTGGCTCCAGAAAGATGGCAAATAAAAACCCGGAGAGCCAGCACCGCCTGGAGACCAGCAGGAGGCCAGAGGAGCCACTCAACAAGCCACTCAGCTCCTGGGCCTTGGAAGTGGTGAGCTCACTGAGGCAGGAGGAGCCCTGGGAGGGGCTGGGGACTGCAGATAAGGGTCCTGCGGGCAGATAGATGGGGCAGATGGAGGGAGGCAGAGGTTCGTGGTCCAGATGGTGGAGGAAGTTCGGGGGGAGAATCACAGCAGTGGGCTGACACACAAGTCACACTGGGACAGCTGTGCACACTCACACGCATCCAGAGAGACAGATACGCACATCCACATGCACACGCACCCAAAGGCAGGTACAAGGAAAAGACAGCCCCTCGCAGGCAGGCCTCACCCCAGTCAGACAGACCAACCTAGCCCTGCCTCATTCACCTGGAGGCATGCAGTGTTGAAAGAACTCCCCCTCCCACCTGCACACCCATCTAGAGACATCTATCTACCTATCTGTGTTTCAGATGCCCATGGCGTCCCCCCAAACCCTGCTCCTCTGCCTGCTGGTCCTGGTGGTCACTGAAGGCCAGGGTCAACAGGCAGCCATCCCAGGCTGCTACTTGCACTGTAAGTAACCCTGGGAGCAGAGAGCTGGATGGGAGCAAAGAGCTGATGGACTGGACAGAGGGGCAGGCAGCACCCTCGAGGGACCCAGTGAGGCTCAGGCAACAGGAGCTGGGTGAGCCTTCTCCAAGGCACCATCTACCGCTCTTCTGTCTTCTTCTAGCCTTCAATGTGACGGTGCGAAGTGACCGGCAAGGCACCTGCCAGGGCTCCCATGTGGCACAGGCCTGTGTGGGCCACTGCGAGTCCAGCGCCTTCCCTTCCCGTTACTCGGTGCTGGTGGCCAGTGGCTATCGACATAACATCACCTCCGTCTCTCAGTGCTGCACCATCAGCAGCCTGAGGAAGGTGAGGGGGCCCAGCTCGGTGGTGCTCGTTGCGGGTAGGGGAGACAGAGGAGATGGGGATCTAAGATGGCCTGAGGAAGGGGACTGGAACAGACACCCACCTCTCCCACAGGTGAAGGTGCAGCTGCATTGTGGGGGGGACCGGAGGGAGGAGCTGGAGATCTTCACGGCCAGGGCCTGCCAGTGTGACATGTGTCGCCTCTCGCGCTACTAGCCCATCCTTCTCCCCCCGCCACCCTCCCCTTGGTCAGAGGGTTTAATGTTGGAGTATATCCTACATATACTGAACCTCAGCAAGGACAACAGCTCCAACCCTGTGAGAAGAGGGGCGTTTCTGCCTCTTCCCCACCTCTGCCTGGCTTCCTAACCAGTCCTTCATCATTTCATCTCCCTCTTTGTCCTAAATAAAGCAAGCAGATCATGAGTTTCTCTCTTTATTAAATCTACCCCCAGCCAGGGAAAGGGGAACAGACCATGGTTACTGTGACCACCCACCCTTGCCCCAGGACACAGGGAATCTTCTGCCTGTGCCCTCACCCCTCCCCCTGCCCAATAAATAAAAAGGGGACAAGGATGTACAGGGCAAGGGAGGGGAGGGAAGGAAGGAGGGTGCCCCAGGCCCAGGATAATGTCTGTGTTGCAGGTGAGCTGGGGGAGAATAAATAGACCATGGATCCCATGGTGGGGTGAGGAAGGACCTCCCGCTGGCACAAGGTGGGGCAGGTGAGGGGCCGAGTCCCCTTGCCCTAGGCTGGGAGCAGGGGGTGGGAACCTGCCTGCAGTCTGTAGCCCAGCTTTGTGGGGCAGAGGCAGATCCCTGATGGCAGCTTCCTGGTCAAGCTTGCCCTGGTCAAGTCCTGCCAGGACGGCCTGAGAGTTCTGTTGCCCGGACCCCCATCTCTCCTCCTCTCCCCCCAGTGGAAACTGCCCAGGCTGGGCCAGGCAGGAAGCCCTCCGAGCCCCCTCTGGCAAGGCCAAGAGTAGGTGTGTATCTCTCTGGACCCCTGGGCAGGAGGGAGGATGGAGGGACTGACAGCTCTGGGTTTAGCTCCTCCCCTTCTGGGGATCTTTAGCTCTGACCTCCACCGGTGGCCACCTGGGGTGTAAGCCGCTGGAGCGGGGCCTCTTTGGCCCCCTGGGTCCCCTGTAACCGGCGTAGCCGTAGCTCCTCCAGGCCTTGCCACAGCTCCTGACGTTCCTGGGCCTTCTGCTGTTCCCTGGGGAGAGAGGGTGAGGCAGTTCCCTTACCTGGGGCCCCACCTGCAATTCAGCCTCCCTCACCACCACCCCACCTGCAAAGAGACTCCACTTAGGGGAGAAGGCACTAAGGAGAGACTCGTCCCAGCCTGTGGTCATGGAGTAGATGGATCAGCCTGGCCCTGAGAGGCCCCAGCTGAAGTATAGGATGCTCCATACCTGGAAGAAGTACTTGGGAGGATAATTGGAGGAGGCAGGGGATAACTGGGCTTGGATGCCCCAGCACTTGGCAAAAACATAGGGAAAGACTTTAAACATCTGATCAGGTGGGATGTGGGTTGTCCTCTTCGGTTCCCTCCAACCATTAGGAACTGGTTCTTTTCTGCTTTTCTCCCCTCTCCCTCCATGTCCAGCCTCCCAGCACTCACTGCTGCTTTTCCAGCTTGTAGGAGGCTGTGAGCTCATCAAACAGCTTCCCATTCATCTCCATGAAGGTCTTGAGCACATTGTAGATCAGAGACACAATGGTTCTTGGCAGGGTCAAGGGAGGGGGTGAGAGATGAGAGCAATTTCAGTTGGGTCCCACCTCCCTCTCTGGCATTCTGCCTGTCCCTGTGTCCCAAATACAGCATGCAGCCCTGAACACCACAAGCACCGCCCTCTGCCTGCCCCTTTCACCACCCCTCTGCCATCTTCGGATGCCTCCCCTGATCCTCTCCAGCTAGCAGTAACCCCAGTTCTGGACTGGCTGGCCCTGCCCCAGGTTCTGTGGGTTAGGTCAAGGCCTGGGCACTCACTGATTCCAGTGCTCCTTGGAGACTTGGTAGAGGGTCCCAAACACAGCAGGCAGCACAGTATGGCAGTTGTCCTCAATGAGGCTCAGGATATACTCATTGTTCCAGAAATACAGAGCCCGCTCTGCAACCTGGGGCAGCGAGATGGCAGAGTAGGCGCCTGGCAGTGGCTTCCCTGCACATGCAAGGCCTGGTATCCATCCCCAACCCAAAACCCAGGGCGCCCTGCCCTCCACACACCCCGTCTTCAGGGCTCATCTGACCCACGGGAGGAAGCAACATGGTGAGGTGAAAAGAACACTGGATTAGGAGTCCAACGCTCAGAGGAGAATCCTGGCTCCACTACACACTGGCCACGTGACTTTAGACAGGGTATTTAACCCCTCAGCCTCTGTTTTCAAATCTGTAAAGTGGGGCTAATAATAGCTACCTCCATACGGCTGTTGTAAGCATCAAATGAGGTATTCAGTAAACTGAAGGAAAAATTGACAACCACCAGGTATGGCTCATAAAAATGAAAGTCTGCACACACGTGTAGGAGAACACTGGTTACAGCCAGCCTGGATGGTGTGGAGAAGCCTTGCTGGGCTCTGAAGTGGGGCTAATGAAATCTAAGGCCACTAAGGAAGCGGACAACCATCCGTCCCATTCATGGACGTTTGCTAAACATCCATTTCAGTTTATGAAATGTGCTTATGCTGCCATCTCTTCGGCTCTCACCACCTGTTGGCCCATTCTACAGATAAGGAAGCCTAATCTGACTCAGAGTGGTGAAGTGATTTGCTCAAGGCTCCTCAGCCAGTGGGAGGTGGATCTGAGGCTTGACCCCAGGTCTCCTGACCCTAAGTCCAGCATCTCCCCATTATTAGACCCAGGAAGGTCCAGAGGAGAAACTGAGGGCAGAGGAAGCTGTGTTAGGTCAACTTGCCAACCTTACCAGTCCATACCCTGGCTCTCACCCCCACCCATTCCAGCCCCATACCTGGAAATGGGGGCTGGACACACAGCGAGCCACCTGCTTGAAGAGGGGCTCCTGGATCTTCACGAACTGGGAGGGCTCAATGACATCCAGAATCTCTTCCATCTCCCCCAGAAACATCACCTGGGGTGGGGGAAGGGACACAGGGAGCAGCAGTTCCCACCTCCCCTGACACACACCTGCCTGCCCTCTGGAAGCTGAGCCCTCCCAACCTCCCTATGGTGGACATCAAAGCCCTTCTTCATACCTCCTTCTGGGTACAGGTTTTTGGCCAGTATTTGAGCAGCCCCCGGATCACCTGTGGGAGTTGAGGCAGAAAAGAGTCAGACCTGCAGGGGTGGGGGCTTGCCCTTCCCCCCAGAGGTACTCACATGCTCTGTCAAAGTGGCATCCTTCTCCAGGAACTGTACCACACAGTATGCCAGCTGCAGCGGGGCGTGGTGGGGGAGGAGGAGGCACAGAGAAAGAGGACAGGGGTCAGGAGGGGACCAGGACAGGACGCTAGACATTGGCTCATTTCCTACGTCTATTCTCTTAGTCACCAATCATTTACTGACCACCTAGGATACACCAGGCACCATGCTTGGTGTGCAGGGACACAGTAATGACCTCACAGGGGAAACATTCAGCAAACTAGTCCTTACAAATTTTACAAAAGTTTCCTTAACCGGAATCTGTATCATGATCTATGGGAATACAGAAGGAGGAGAGCTCAAGCCTGCACAGGCAGGTCGAGCAGGAGGGGGCTGGGAAGTCTTCAGAGGCCAATGTCTGAGATCGGCCTTAAACGGTCATGGGGATTCTCTACGGTAGACGGAACAGAATTAGTCAAGAAAAAGGTGAGAGAGGATCCCGTGAGTTCACGCTTTTAGTGTGGCTGAAATCAGAGTGTCAGGCTGGCTCTGCGGGCCCGGGTGGCTGCCCTGACTCTGTCAGGACCTCTCTGCCATGGCAGGACCAGGCCCGGGCCTTACCTGGGCGTGAAAGACAGACAGCGACTTGACAGAGTGCAGGGGAATCAGGACTCGAACCAGAAACTGCTTGTGCTCGGTCTTCAGGGGCAGCGCAAAGCCGTTGATGATGCTGAGGAGGGGGCAGAAGAGATGAGGAGGGTTGGCATGACTGGGCCTCAGTCCCTCCCCCCAGAATCCTGAGGCTCCAGCTGATGCCCAGAGAGAGTCACCTTCCTAAGATCTCCAGCAGCTCAGCCACGCCATTGAAGTGCTCGAGTTCATAGATGAACCTTTGAGAGGAAGAGAAGGATGCAGAAGGGCTCAAGGCAGTTGGAGCAGGCCCAGCCCTCCTGTCACCCTGCCTGCCCACCCCCAGCCTGCACATCAATCCAACTCTCTCCCCACCCAGAGGCTGTGCTCCCTTTCCCAAACCCCAAACGAGGCCCCACTGAGATCCACACCCACCTCTTTATTACCCTTCTCAGCCCAGCCACCAGTGCCACTCTGGGTCCCAGCTCAAACCTTTCTTCTTCTTCTTTTTTTTTTTTTTAATTTTTATTGGAGTATGGTTGCTTTACAATGTTGTGTTAGTTTCTACTGTATAGCAAAGTGAATCAGCTATACATATACATATATCCCCTCTTTTTTGGATTTCCGTCCCATTTAGGTTACCACAGAGCATTGAGTAGAGTTCCCTGTGCTGTACAGTAGGTTCTCATTAGCTATCCGTTTTATACATAGTACCAATAGCGTATATATGTCAACCCCAATCTCCCAATTCATCCCACCCACCATTTCCCCTCTGGTATTCAAACCCCTCTTCTATGAAGCATTCCAACTCGTCTCTTCCTCCCCGAGACCCTAACCCTCATTACCTGGTCCCCATCCAGTCCACAGGCACCTAGCCTGAGTCCTCCGCTCCTCATGCCAATCAACCAAAAGAATGACAAACACTTACAGTGTCTATTCTGTGCTATGTACTTCTCAAAATTATCCCAGGAGGTAGACCTTATTAGATCCATTATATAGATGAAGAAATCAAGGCTCAGCAGTTCAATGAAACTTGCCGCAAAGTTAATAAGCAAGGGATCTAATACACTGAGCTCCTGGAGGAGAGGGATCGTGCCTCACCTATTTTTTAGCTAATAACGATAAAAGCTAATGTTTCAGAGTTCCGGCCTTGGTCCAGGAGCTACACTGAGTGCTTTGAAGGCACTGCCTCATTTCATCTTGATGATTATCTCTGTGTAGTATAGTTATCATTCCCATTCTAGAGACGAGGAGACTAGGAGAGAGCTTAAATAATTTGCCCAAGTTCAGCCAAATATTTGAACCAAACTCAAACACAGACCATCTAGCTCAAGAGCCAGTCTCAACTACAAGGCAATGTGGGTCCCTGATGCCCAGTGGGCACTGGCGCTGAATACATATTTGCAGAAAGAATCTCATTCTTTGGGTCCTTAAGGCCTGGTGTGACATTAGATCCTAGGCCCCCTGAACT